GGTCTTCTGACAACATAATACCGGATTGACCAGCCGTATAGCCACTTGCCTCGGCTGTAGATAGCATCCGCCGGCCTAAGCCTCTGGAGAAGCTTTCTGGTGTCTGGTAGACAACCTGAAAGGCTTTGTTGGCATCGACTCGTGATTCGTACCGACAAGATGTGCGAAAATAGAACTCGAAATTGATTTGTTTTTACCTCTGCCTAGCCAGGCCGGTATGTGATTATATACTCTTTTCTTCAGGCGCCTCAGTGTACGGCCAATATATTTCGCTTAATAGGAGCAGGTGAATGAGTATGTACTCATCAATATGGCCTGCAAAGCTAGCCGGTCGTTACCTCTCAAGTGTATGGGGGGAAAGTTCGTGAAACGTACGCGTAACTTTGCAGCGGGAAGAGCGCTAGTGATTGCTGTCTTCAGACGTCGTCTTCCAAGGCCGCTTGCTGAAGCGCCTTACAAAGGCAGTCCTATAAGTAATTCTTCCTTTTCTGCGGCTGCCATGGTGGGCTTTGGAGTGCGCTCCCCTATATTTCGGTGGATAAATCTTTCTGGGTATCCGTATCTGTGACCTGTACTTAGGAAATGGCAATTAGTCCTATGCTGCCCGTCCCGGCGTCTGAATACCCTGATTCACAGCTTACGGCTATGGTTAACCTGCCAGTATCAGAGAAAATTTTGTTTCGATAAAAAATAAATCCCATTGTCTCACAGCAGGTAATGGATGATATTTGTCCCAGAAATTTAGTCCAACCTTGCTGCCTGCCTCCTAACTAAACAGTATGCGTTCTGTGTAGTCGTTTCCCATAGACCATGCTGTCTTCACAAGTGCCAAGAGTGGAAGGTGGACGTTGTCCGCCAGCCAAGCCCGCCCAGTCGATATCTGATCATTTTGGGAAAATCTTTAAGCCATGCGGATGTTGATTTCACAATTATACGATCCGAATGACTAACCTGTTAGTTTGATAATTCTGACTCATGATTTGAGAAATCAACAATGTTCTAGTCCTGAGCAAGTCTACAGTCAAAGATCAATTGTGTGAACTGCTGAAACGTGTTTTCGACTGGGACGGATAATTAAGATGAGGGGTTATTTTTAATCATCCTACAATTCAAACCCGAGGTATTTCAGTCAGACCAGGGCAGAGGCTTTTAAACGTACTTCTTTTTGGCAGATGCTTTAGCAATGAGGATATTTTCAATTGATATAAGATGCCTTTAGAAGGTAAAATATTTTATTAACATGTGGTCGGAACATTCTTTCATCAACTTATCTGATAAGAAATTAAATTTTTTAAGAGTCTACTGTAAAAAAAGGTGCTATTTGGTTTTAAAAGGTTGATAATTATGAGATTTTTATGACTACTAAGGGCCATTCAAATAACGTCGTGTCTACCCGTCCAATAATAATCGCCAGAAATTGTGTCACATAGAAAACATTCATTGCAAACTACTTGAGCCAGATATATAGTTTTTTCCTAGTATTCTGGAGACATTTCTACTTACGGAGACTATGTGGAGACTCTCTTACGGAGACTATATAGGTTGTGGATTGTGACTTTTGGATGCAAATTCAACGACAGGTCGACAACAGGTATATTCGGCAACTGAGGACGATTTTAAGGCCTAAATTTACCCATCCTTTGACAATAAAATATGAAGAAAACAAGACACGCCACCAAATCAATATGAAAAGGGATATGCGGTCCACCTTAACCATGGAATATGTTTATAATTGAAAATTTCAATTTCAATTGAAAAGTTATGCAAAATATTCTGTCGTTTCTATCAAGCAGGGTTTTCACAGTCGCTGAAAAGAAGTGGATTCGAATCCGGCTGCAATTAGTTGACATCTTGCGTAGGGGACTCAGTACGGCGCCAAAGCTGCTGTAATCCTTCCTACCTTCATAATATGTATCGCCGAGTGCAGCTGTTAGTCGAGCGCCAAATCTCCTACTTTTTCCACAGGGTACTTAGAGCGCGTGTTAGTTTAAAACAGCAAATCGTCTGATTCAGTACACACCCGGTTTGCCAGATATTCCCTGAAAGCTCTCCTAATTTGCTTGACTTGAAAATGGAAGAGACCATATCTCCCGCTGATCTTTGGCATTTGAAATGACAAGGACCTTGTTTGGCTTCACCAATTCGATTGAGATAACGATGCAGGCTACTGCAGGCTGCATAGATGGAAAATATGAAATTCAAGTTGACAAACTGCACTGCCACCGTGCTTTTTTCTGCTTTGAGATATTTTTCTCCAGAGGCGTTTCATCCGTTTTAGGTTATTAATTCATAAGTTGCAGCACAGTGTCTGCATGAAATAACGCATTTCTAGGTACTTGAGTGCCGTATATAGAAATTATTTGACACGATGTTCAGCTGAGATGACTATATGATATGTTGCGACAAAGGGATAAAACCTACACACTTATACGTGTAAGGGTCACCGGTAGTCTCAGAAAACACACGGGGAAGGCTGGATGACCCACCGATGAGCCGAACCCCTCGCAGTTGCGAAAGGCAGCGACAAAAGATTCGCCAAACACGCGTGTCTGGGTTTCTAGCTTGTAGCTGTGTTGTCAGTACGGTAAATAATTACACGAAGAGGTAATCTCTAAGCATAAAACCAGTCGTCTGTGCGTCAAAAATCAGGACCTGCGTTCGTTTGACCTGTGCCTCAGTTTTCGTGGGACACCACGTTGTAATGTGCGCATGTGGCAGCCTTTCATGCGATATAGTACTTGACGGCCTTTCTATCCTCCGTCACAGGCATTCCATGTGATGCGCAGTTGGATTTGAGGAAAATGTTTTATCACATCCTGCCAACCAGTTTATCCATGCGTTAGTCGGAGATTATTCCTGACCGAATGATAGTGACAAGTTCGTCCCCTTTTGCCAGTAGGTCGCTCTGGCAAATAAATGTTTTGTTGACAGCTTCAATGCCGGGGTTTCTCTTGATTCACGGACAACCATGACAAGGGATATATAGGAAAAAAATAGACAGAAATCACATCTGGGAGGCAGGAGAAAGCTGCACGGTGTAACCTAGTTTTCTCAAATGACTCAGCCACTTTCCTCAGGACCAATAGAAGTGGCTAAAAACATTGCAGCAATAGGACATGTCCCAATGGACAGAATTACTATTGATGGAGAAGAAAAAAACGGGAAATCAGGTCAGTGCATCTTATCTCTTTTTAACCGATGTTATCCTACAACTGCATTTCACAACCGTCAAGCAATTTTCTGGCCGAATATTAGATCACGTTCCCCATTCTCCGCATTCGGATTTAATCATCGCAAAGTCTTCTCGCTCTATGCGCCGTGGCTTTCTACTTATCTCTTGACGTACGTCGGTACATCAACATGCAGTATTGCTGTTCCTATGGCGTTATCTTACGTAGGACGAGGCAGAAATACAGCAGCTGAAACTCGAATTGTCCCCATCACTGTCGTTCCTTTTTCCGTAAGACTTTTGACTTATTTTATGTCAACAACGAATGAAGCACATTTTGCTAAACATTTCGGATTTGTGATTTCAAAATAAGGCGAATTACTCCTTTTCTCTCTCTCTGTTATTTCTAAATACGCATATAGCAGTGCATTCACATGTCGATAGAACATTTTGCGGAAACAGTCGGAGGCCTCAAAGCTCAGAGAGTGAGGCAACTGTGCGCGAACTTGCCTTCACACTTACTGGCAACCTTAACACAATAACCATTTCTCTCATCTCTCTTTCTCAAATGCATAATAGACCACACTTGTCAGAACTCTGATCTTGGGTTGGCCTATATTCATCGGCTATTTTAGACTCGCATGGACCCTGATAAATGGTTTATGAATACGGTCAGTCACTCTAAGCAGAAAAACCTGTTTATCTTAAAATGGAATTTTCCTCTCGTGCAACGCGCAGTGGGCGCTTCCTGTTTCAAAAAATCCAGCCAACGTTGTTGCCTGTCTATGAAGTGCAGTGTTTTGCGTGAAGGTTGAGGCAGTGCGTGCAAAGGGTTAGAGACGCATTGTGGCATGCTCGAAAATTCGAGTTCCCGGAGTCAATATCTGCAATGTTTTGTCCAAAAAACCCCTCCACCTGTAAGTCCCGTCTGTCAACGCACACAGTTCGAATGCGCAATTTGTCCGCCCGACCCACCCCCGCTCAAGAAATGGGAAAATTCCATTACCTTACAGAAATCTCCCTTTTCGCCTTTACCCAGAAGTAGAAGGAATACCTTCTTTCGAAGTGCAACAATGTTGTTTCTTCTATGTATGTAGTCTTACAGTGGCCTTTTTGAACAGTAAATTATCCAGGCGTTGCTCAGGAAGTCACTACTTCCAACGCACCTCACACACACTCGAAGTCGCCCCTATCCTTAGCATTACCAAATCAACAGCCAGAACCTTCATAGTCACATTTGATATAGTTCTCGCTCATAACTTACCTGATAAAAAAGAAGCGATCGCTGGAACAATGACTTTATTCGCCTGACGTTTCGGATTCTCACTTGAATCCATCATCAGAGGCAGTGGCAGAAACGGGTGATTAGCGCATAAGCAGTCGCGGTATTTATGGGGTCGACGACAACACGAAGATGACTGAGCCGGCTTGTTAGCTAACCATGGGCCATGACACGATGGAACAGCTTTCATTGAGCGTCGACGATTTCGTCTGAGACATTAGTGGCCGAGCATTGTAAACTTGCAAGGCATCGATCTGGGGACTGAGATAACTCATAAAATTGAGTTTTCACAGGCCGTGAGTTGTGAAAGTAGTCAGTGTCAAAAGTGCGCGGTGGTGACTTGCGTGTGAATGGGTCAATAGCGAAAGCGACTTCTCTTGAAGCTATCTCAATCTTCCCCTCTTCTCATATCTACACAGTTAGGATGACTAGACAAAGCTAATACGACTGGAAAGTGGCGTAGGTGCACTGATTGGAAAAACACAACTCCTACGAAGCAAATACAATGAAACGGAGAATCGTCTCGGACATGCCCAAGTCCTTCAGCTCCTAATGTTCTGTCTCATGACGTTCTTCACGTCTGAAGGAACAATCTATGAGCAAGTGAAGGGAACGTTAATAGGCTCACCGATTTTGGAATTTATCGCCGAGACGGTCCTGCAACGGTTAGAGTCACTGGTCTTCAAAACCACAGATCGAAGTTCTGGGCCCGGTATGTAGATGATACCTTCGTCGTTATCGACCGGGATCAACTGCTGACATTCAAGGAACGTCTGAATGCGGTCTTCTCGGACGTACAATTTAGGATGGAGGAGGACGAAAATAACCGGCTGGCATTCCTTTATGTCCTCTTCTGTCGCAAACATTTTGGTGACCTAAAGATCAAAGCGTTCAGAAAAGCGACAAACACGATGCAAATACTGAACTAAAACAGTAACCACCCAATCTTCCACAAACGCGGTTGCGTAAGAACGCTATATCGGCGTGTTGAGACGCACTGCCGTGAACCAGAAGACAAGGTTGCGAATCTCAGTATCTTCGACAGGTTTTAGAGCAAAAATTGTTACCAGCGCAACTTCGTCAACCGGTGCGTGCACAAACAAGACGAGCGACAAAATCGTGCAACCCCAAATTCTGGCGACCGATCCCGTAAATCAAGAACGGCTCCGAGGACATTAGTCGCCTTCTTGCACCACTTGGGGTTAGATTTGCACACAGACCGGAGGCCACCATGAGGCGTCAGGTGATGAGACCAAAAGACCCATTGTCACGGCAAGACACACCTGGAGTCGTTTACCGGATATAGTACAGTTGCGGACAAATCAACTACGTCGGACAAACTGGAAGACTGCTCCGAATGCGAACTGCCGAACACGCGGCAACGGTACGGAGAAATGACGCCAACTCTCAGGTCGCGGCCCATTCGACGAGACCCGGCCACACATTCAAGTTCGATGAGGCCGGAATTTCTCGCGAGAGGGGATAATTGCGTGAGCTGCGAGTTGCCTGAGTCACGGTTCACGGGACCTCTGTCTATCAGCAAGTGCACCGACATCCCCTCTCCATATTCTGTGCTGAGGCATAGGCTGGTCAAAGTAAATGACCACCCGGGGAGTGGGCAAGCCGGTGAGCCAGATGGCCGAGCAATCATCACGCCAGCATTCAACACGGGCGAAGACATGTAAGCCACTAACAACTTGAAAGGCGCCCATCAAGCAATTAGCGTACCAGCGGGCAACAATTCTTGAAGAAGTGCAGCGTGGTTAATTGCTATATGTATGGGGTAGCATAGCGACTGCATCCTATGAATACTGCGACTCCTTGTGCAGGAATCACCCACTTCTGCTACTATCTCGGTTAATGGGTTCAAGTGAGAATCCGAAACGTCAGGCGAATAATGCTCTTGTTCCAGCGGTTGCTTCTTCTTCTTATAAACTGGTGTTTGGAACTCTCATCTTCGCTTATAACTCACATATCCGTCTAGTGTAACTTTCAAATCCGTTGCCCGGAGGTCAACTAACCATTGCCAGGACACCCCACCTACACCCATCACACGACATTTCGACTGTTATGATCGGCGATGGACACCGTGTGCTACACAGCATGGCGAGAACAAGGAGGGTGACTTGCGCGCAATTGTTTATCGTGGTAACAGACTTGCGCTGCACACACCACACCCTATCCTCCTCCCCCACTTAGGTTCGGCGCAAGGAAATAGTCAAGAAGACCATAGGCAGGAGAAGGCGCAGTGGGCTGGCACCACGAAAACCGCGCCTAGACGCATCACAACGTCCCCTGATACACTACGTACACCGACCAGGATCCTACACCAGAAGAAAAAAGAGGGCATTTCGGATCCCACTTAATCGCAGTGCCATAAGAGTCGCATTAAGGAGTCGTCTCAACCAGACTCCCAGTACACCAATCAGCCACTGTGCACCAACACACACTGGGCTGACTGCGAGACTGGAGTTGTCAGCCTTCAGAGACGCATCTCAAACTCTAATACCATTGAACTTAATATGTGTTCTCACTTCCAGGCACCAGCCCACTGTTCGTGTCGGTCAGTCGTCTGGTGCGAGCGCAGTGTTTGACAGAGAAAAAACGCCCATCTGCCGCCGCCACTTGCATGACCTGCCCCTCTTCTCGACCAAACGCGTACACGAGGATTAAACACCTCAATGGGAAGCGGCTCAGATCCCTCTTGTGAGTGAGGGTGTCATTACGGAGTAGCCATCACAGTTCGACTCTCAGTTTGCCAGTCGGCCATTCAGAACACAAATTTACAACTGAACTGACTGTGGGAGTTCAGTTTAAGCGCCAGTTGGCAACATTTTAGGTCACGACAACTAGCGCGTCGTTATAGTCTCAAGCGCGCCAGATCGGTCGTAATGAGGAGTGTTTGGGTGGAAATCGTGGCGATTCCATACGGGTTCTACAGCCGTATGGCATGGCTTGGAGATCCAGTATGCCACTTCGTTGTTGATTGCAGTGTTGTGGGAGAGGTTGTTGCGCTAATAGACGACTTTGTCAACGGCCTCCAGTTGGTTTAGTTGACGTGAATGTTAGACACACTGTATGCACTGCTAGAAGACGGTTGGTGCAATACCTCAGTGTGCCTATGCTGATGGTCAGACCTAAATTGTCGCAGTCGGAGACAAACAGGCCCGTGCTCTGTCGCCTACTTTCCTCTGTCAAGAATTTTAGTGCACAGTCGTCCGCGTAGAGCAAATCGCTGACAGCGATCGTGGAAACACGTTTCAGGACCTGGATGCGCTGACTATTTAGAGGATGGTGCCGATGCGGATTCCGGAGCGTTTTTCACTCAGATCACCACCAACATAGCAGAAAATATGAGGCCGGAGAGGGTGGGAGCGAGTACGCATTCCCGCTTCACTCGTTTCATCACTGCAAATGCTTCTGAGACGGTCCCACTTTCCGTGATGTGCGATACCACCACCCGTCTTGGAGTTGTCGCATTATGCTTGTGAAGATCTTAGGACGTTTAAATGTCTGGATGAGTTTCCAGAGTCCGTTGGGATTATCTATGTCGGAGGATTTCGTCAGATACACAAGAGTAGTCTGAAGATGGATCCACACCTGCTGATATGTCTTCTGCAGCTGGTAGATGCCGAAGATCAAGTCGGTGATTCAGCAGTGGTGTCGGAAGCAGCATTAGCATTCCGGGATAAGTCCCTGCTGTAACCGGGCGTTGACTTGGTTAGGGAGGATGTGGACAAAGATCCTCCCAGCAGCAAGATTTATCTGTGGATATCACAGAGTGTTTGGACCTTGCTCTGCTTGTAGAGATGAAGGATTGCGCAGCCTGAAAATTCTGAGGAACTTGTCCTCCTCGCTACCTCTCCTGAAATGGCATCGTACGTTTGTCCATCGGACGAAGACCGCCGTGCTGTGACCTTCGGCTGGGGTCGCATCGCGATCCGGTGCTATCCGGCTGGCGAATTAATGCACAATCCTGACTGTTTCTGGGAGGGCAGACGAGGAGTCCAGGTCATGGTTCGTCTTAGATTGAAGGATCCTGTCGTTTGTAGCGTCGGAGATGGTAGATGGGTGGTTGGGAACACTGGTATAGCGCTCGTTCCAGCGTTTCAGAATCTGTAATTTCTCCATCAGAAATGTCGTTCCGTTGTTGTTATGAAACGGTGTGACTTCGTTGGCCTTTGGGTTGTAGACCACCTTGATTGATGCGAAGAAAATTTTTGATTTAATTGCAGTCCATATAGCCCAGGATTTTCCAGGCCTTGCGAGTCCCTCGGACTACCTGCGTCTCCTGCAGTCGTTGCTACGCGGGACGGTGACGTCTGAAGATGGTCGTTTTGGTTGAATCAGCCTGACGGACAGGGAAGACTTTGTCCTCAAGCCAGTCTGGGTTTCGATGGCATATGCGTTCAGAGACGTTAAAGGAAGTGGTATGGATGGAATTCTGCGCTTGACATTGCCCTTTCTTCGCAATGGCATAGTTGTCCGGAGTTGGCCGTTCTTCCAAGTGGTGAACTAACTGTTTTCGGAAATGTAATCGGCAAGTAAGCACAGTCAACAAAACAGTATTTAACTTTTTTGGTAGGTCTTTACTTTTTGGTCGCCCGCGGGGTTGCATTCTGTGTCTCATCTTTAAGATGACGAGGTGGTGATCCAACCACCCGCCGGCGTCACAGATAGTCTCGGTCACTAGCACCTTCCGTCGATCTCATTTCTGACGAGAACATAGTGCAGTTGCTGCCAGCGCAACGATCGAGCGCATCTTGGCTGCATTCTTCGACATGGAAAGAAGGAATGCGTTGGTAGGGAGGGGACGATGTTCTGCGCGGGTTTGAGGGAAAAGGAGGCCGTTATAGATTCAGCCGCTTATTTCATAGGGACCAAGCACGATCCTTCAGGCAGTATGGTTTGTCCCGACGAAGGCATTAAAGTCACCAAGGACAACTAACTAATCCGTCTTTGGAGCAGATAGCAGGAGTGCGCGCAGGTCTTCCTAGAACTAGGTCTTGGCTTCGTCCGAGCTGGTAACGGTGGGGGAGGGAGGTAGACACTGATGGTGACAAATTAAGCCCCCCGAAGAGGCCGATGCTGGACAATACACCGGTAATTGATGCTGGGCGACAATCAAGGCAGTCGTCTTACGATGTCCTCGTGGATGGCAAAGAAGATCCTAGTGCCGCATCTTTCTGTCTTTAGACAGTCGCTCCAGAGAAGGGTGTATTCAGCATTCATCTCCACCAGCTGGTCAGGTTTGGAGAAGCGGACCACGCGAAGATCAGTCACGTCCACCTTGTAGCGCGTTAATTCACTAGTGACTATCGCCGTCCTCCGCTCCAGTTGGTTGTTCCCCGGATTGTCTAAGAAAGAACTAACATTCCAGGCTGCCAGATTGAGCGGACTCACCCAGCTGCATGTGGGATGGGGCGGAGCTGGGGGGGGAGCTGTGGGTGAGAGGGGTTTTTGTTTCTTGTTTTGATCACGTGTTTTGCACTTACGATCCACAACCAGCATGCGGAGGAGAGCATTTCTTTGCAACACCTTTTCTAGCCTTTTACTCAGCGAGGAGATAAGCAATGTTGTCCAAAATGCATCTGCTTATGCGTCCCTGACGGCTGCAAAATCCAAATATGGGTCTTGGTTCTGTTTTGTAGGGATCGAATTCCGTCCTCTGCCTAGGACGCTTCGAAGCTAGGGGGGAAGGGGAGAGTGAGGGAGGGAGGGAGAGGGAGGGCAAACGGAATGAGAGGGATGGGGCTGAGGTGGGAAGGATGGGGATTAGATCAGAATCACCGGGTGTGAAGATCACGCAACACAGGATGCATTCATTTGGTTTAGTTTGCTGAAAAACTTGGTTGGCTTTTGAGTTCTATGCGTATAAGAATCTCGTAGGAGTTAAAATATTCAGAAACTTGATTCAACTGCAGACATTTTTGGGGTCTTTAGCACTGACTGCTTTTGGCGGATTAATAACTCACCTGAGTGCATTTAGGGACTCCAGTTCTGCCCTCAAATTCAGTATCTGCTGTAAAGAAGAGTTAAAGTGCCATGATTTGAACAGCAAAATCATTTAAAGCAGTGATGTACGGCAAGTTTTGAGGAAATAACTGCATATGAAGCCTCAAAAGACCTATTAGTCGTCCAGCAGGAAATTATAGCTATCTTCGCAGCAAACTGCCTTGTAATCGCCGAATTGCGAGATTCACTTGCAGTCCATATTTTGTACTTGACTAGTGTTGTTTTATTTAGGATAAACCCGTCTTGCGAGTGCGGATGAAAATATTTGACGGATTGAAATGTCCTGCGGTAAGCATGCATACTTGTTAAATTGACGCGGGATGGATTTACACCATTTCATCAACATGCAAGACCTACCCGTGAGCATAATAAGTCAGTTTGACAGATCATGGGACCAAAATGTCCTTTCCACTCCGACAGTGCACATTTATCAGCTCAGAAACCATTTTTTAATGCGAAGTACATAACAGGCGATAATGTGCTGAAATGAATCAGTCTTTTCCATTACAGTTAAATCTCTAAAGTTTTGAAAATGAGCGTATGTAATGTCTTTTTACTTCTTATCCTCACTCCGCACGTGCAAAATTTTTCTATTGTATATCGCATACCACATTTCATGATGAAACCCCTTCTTCCACCAAATTACAACTTAAAGTAAATCTTTTTAATGTAACATAAAATTCTACTACATGGTCTAAAGTAGACAGGTCGTTGTTGATTTTTCCATTTTGGTCTACGCGTTTGCATTTGCTCCTCTGTTGTCTAGACTTCTCTTCATTACTGGAGGTAACGTCCATCCTATTCGTGAGATAAGGCAGCTGTGGGTAGGCTGAATTGGTTGAAGAATGCTCACATCGCACGCTTACTGAGCACTGGTATTCACACCGTGCGGAGGTAAAAACCACTTTTACCCCCTATGTTCGTTTGACTTTGGATAAGTTTGTCGGTTACTGTCAACGGTAGGGGAGGGGGGGAGGAGACATAGGCGAATTCGACGGATCCAATACTCGCGGATTAACAGACAGTTTCGTTAGTCTTTAATGTACAACAGATTTTTTCCTATATGATGAAAGAAGAAGTAGGTCTTCCTTTAATGCATGTGCCACTGTAGAAAGCCGGCTTAGGAAGATGCATATTCATCGGCTGTATAAAATATAAAACCCGGAGAGTCAGGGGTTTTGAGCCAGTGTATACAAAGCCCCCGATCGCGTAAAAGACGCGTGGGCAAGTAGTACAAACATAGAATAACTCGCGCAGACAATGTGCAATATCATAATTTGCTTGAGGAATCGCTTTTATAATTGACAGTATCGAAATAAAATGCGCCAACGATGAGGTTGAAAACGGCGACATACTGGAAGCGCATCCACCAAATAAGCTGTCAGAAGACCAAAATCACTCTGGATTTAATGAGTAGCCTAATTGAGGCCACAATAGTCTACTGATGGACGCGGTTTCTCACATGGCTGAGGCATAAATCCACGTGAAAATAGCAAAGAGCTTAAAGATGTAATTCACTTTTGATTGGTGGGAATAGAAACTCATTCATCGCCGGATGTAGAATGCTTGCAAGTCGGAATACCCACAGTTACTATTCAGACTACCTGCCTAGAAGACAGCGGCATTCTGTGTCTCTCAGTCGGAACACTGATGACAGCAACTGACGGTGTCAGACCGAATGACTGAAACCGCTGCCCGAGCTCACCGCAATGTCTACCGGAAGCTTCAGTTTATTTGTTTATTTGGTAAGAATAATAGGTAAGTCCTTTGAATACCTTATTGATTACATGTCAACACGTTAGATACAACTGTCCACTAACAATAAATATCGTCGCTATAAAAACAGTACTCGATTTTTTAGAGTAGCATTGTTTTAAAAAAGATTCCGGGATCGCACAGTACTAAGCTCAGGTTCAGACTGCCGAGAGAAAATAGGGGACACAAATAATCATCCAAGCGCTTATTGAAGAGTTTCAGGGACGTCGCCTCCATGACTGATTAGGTGAGATCGTTCGATTTTTGCCCTACCCATTGTGTGAAATATTCAGAACGAACATTCAGCCTGGACATTTTTGTCAGTGGCTTCATCGAGTGACCACGAAGAGTGGGTGAAAGACGCCACTGAAATATGTCTGCAAAACTAAGCCCAAGCTCAAGGCCAGGTAGTTTCTTGTAAACCAGTATAAGTTCACCTCTTTGCTGCCTGTAACACAGAGGGAATAAATGAAGGTAATTCAGTCTATCTACGTAGGGTTATCTTTTTAAAGCGACAACCAGCTTTTTGTACGACGTTTTACTCTTTCGAGGAATTTTTGGTCATTTAATAGCTATCCTCGCCACGCTTGTATGCCGCATTCTTAATGGACCCGAACAGAGGAGCCGTAAACTCTCAGAAAAGATCTTTGTCAAAGGTTACGAACGCCCTTTTGATTGCATGGCGCACTCCCATGGTGTTTTTTGCAGGCTTGTTGCGCTGTAGTGTTGCTTTCATGTTGCTCTGTAGCCAAACACCGAGATCCTTCGGTGAGGATTCTGCACGAAGTGTAATTTCTTTTAGGTGATACGTCCTAAGACTCTCATCTGGAGGACAGGTGGTAAGACGCAAATGAAGGACGGCACACTTTTGTACATTGAAATCTAGAAGCCATTTCTCTGACAACGCTTGTAGTCGGCGCAGACTCTTTTGAAGGGTTGTCTGGCTTTTTGGATTCTAAATGACCTACCAGAGCTTAGTGCCATCGGCAAACATTATTTTGTCGCAGTCGAGTTCCTGAAGTATGTCATTAACATGAAGGATGAAGAGTAATGGACCCAGAACTGAGTCTTGAGACACAGCATTAGTCCCGTCCACCCAGTCTGACATATCGTCTGCGATACAGACACGCCGTTATTGACCAGTCAGAAAAACCCTTATCCCGTTCAGAAGATCTCCCCGGATGCCAGTGGCGCTCAGTTTGTGAAAAAGTCGTTGGTACGAGACGGTGTCGAATGTCTTGTGGGAACCGATGCACACGACATCGTCCTCACAACCTTATGTGAAAGCCGTAATTCAGATCTCCAGCCAAGTTGGCAGATTTGACAAGCAGGAACGTCCTCTCCCGAAGCCATGGTGAAAATCCTGCATGATGTTATTTTCTTCACAAAATTGGTGTGTATCATTCTTTGGTAGATTTTTCATCATTTTGCATGAATCTAACTAATAGGCTTGAATCTGCTTGGTGCCATAATATTACCTCCTTTATGTAAGGGGACGAGGTAAGCTGTCTTCCGCTACGTTGGCAGCCTCAATGTTCTCATTGGCAGTTCAAAGAGAGTCAAAACAGGCTTTGACGGCTCCGGTGATAGCTCCCTAAGTATCAGCCCAGGAATTCATTTGGGTCCAGGAGACTAATCTGGCTTTATTTGGCTGAGGACATCTATTACCTCTTCTATGGGAAAGGCAACGGTTTCAATAGCGGCAGTATTTTAGCGCATTTGAAGCTCCCTACCGTCGTGGCCAATTTCAAACTAGTGATTGTCTTCAGAAGACCTCTTCGTAAAAACAGATTGAAAAACTTGACACAGTAATTGCTCTTTCTGTGTTCTTTCAGCTAATAAGTTACCTCTATCCTCTAGACACGCAATTTCGTCCCTATGTCTTCTCCTACTGCGGATGCATTCACAAAACCTCTTGTGACATACAGTAAGTGGACTAACTCACGAAATGCAACCGAAATTCTGAAATGCGCATTCTTTCGAACAGATTACTTGTGGTTGTAGAACCAATCATCGTGCAGCGTAATTCTATGATAATTCAATTACCCTAGAATGCCGGCTTTCAAATGAACTTCACTTTGACTGCATGCAAATACTACGCTCTGTAAAAAGTGACTACTTATGTAGCATGTATGTTTCTGATTGATTTTCGATGCCATAAAAAGTCCAACTATATTCCATGAAAAGCATTCATAAAAAAATATTCATGCTGCTAATCTTTGGGTGGAATATTATCTCTTTTCCAATTTTGTACTCGAAGAAAGCGTAAAATTCGGTTTTAAAAAAGTTTTCAATTGTAAGTTTTTTAATATCGTGAAATGGACTTTCATAAAACGCCATGTCTCTATATTTACCAATGTGGCTTTTAAAATTAACAATATGGCCCAAATACACTCGAAAAATGCACGGCTTGCAGTTCGACACCCTGAATACATGTGTGACGGCCGATAGAGTTCAAAATTATTCGGAAATTGGAAAAGTTTTTGAAAATCAAATTATTCCCTATCTTCGGGGTATAAACTTGGAAGAAGATGTAATTGTCTACCTAATGAGCGGAAGAGTTAATATTTTTGTGCCTGTTTGCTATGACCTATGTTTGAATTTATAAGGGCATCCAATGTCAATAAAAAGCGTGCATGCTGCATAAGTAGTCGCCTTTTATAGAGTGTTTTATTTGCATGCAGACGAAAAGAAGTTCCTTCGAAAGCCGGCATCTTGAGGTAACTGACTTATTATAGAAT